GAGTGCCACTGTAAAAAAAGTGGAAGTTAAATAAAATATTATTATTAAGTAAATTACCAGTACTAAACAGTCCAACTTAAATTCATAGCGATTTTATAGTAACTTTACTTTTGATTGGTTTTTTTTTGTTTTTTTTTTAATTAAAACCTTTGTTTATTGTTTGACCTAGATTTCTTTGACGCAATTCAGAGGAACGTCAAATTTTATCATTTTTATTAATGAATAAAGCAAAATGCAGTAGAACCACTCATTTGATACACTTTTATCAAGGGGGAACTTTCCGCGAAACGAGGAGAAATACATCACAAACTATTTCTTAAATGTTTTAAACAGTCCATTAAACCGTAATTCAATATCATAATGTTTAAACTTTTCATAAAGTTGAAAATTGACATAAAACCTGATCAATTTTTATAGAATCCTAAAATATAATAAGCTTTTACTACTACAATTTAATCATATGCCACTTGATTTGATTTGTGAAATTATTTTTCATAGTATACAAAATAAATCGTTATTAAATCGTGCTAGTGTGAAAATTCTCTTATTTTCTATATGAACAATAAAACGCATTTCAGATTAGGATTTTCTCAATTTTATTGACATAATTTGTACCTTATAAAGAATGTGCGATAAGGTACCAGAAGCTGGTACAGCAAGACCAGGTGTGGCGCTCCAGCTTGGTGGGTAAGATGTTTTTTCCAAAACGTAGTACCCTGAGTTCAAATACTAACATAAGGGATTTTTTCATGACTAAAAAAAAGCAACATAACTCCTAACCATAAACACTCAAATAAGCGACGCCCTTGAATAAGCACTGCACCAAACCCGATTTTTTGCGCTAAGCACCGCTCTTGCAGCACTTAATCGAGAGTAAATATTACCATGTGTGTAAAGAAACACTTTGAGAAAAAGGTTTTTGAATTCAATGTATACAGTGCTAAAATGAATAAATAACACAATGGACACAAGACACAAGGATTTCTTTATGAACATTTACTTACGATGACAAAGGACCTATGATATGCCAACTGAACTACAGGAACATGTGAGATAGGTAACATGAAAACGGGCATGGAAAGCGCTATGCCAATATTTTTTAATAAGTGCTGCTCTCGAATAAGCGCCACACTAAAGCCTCCAAAAAAGCGCTGAAGTGCTTATTTGAGCATTTATGGTAGCCTTCATACTGAAGAGTTTTTCACTTTCATCCAACATACGCTGGAGCACTATGGGTCGGCAGCACACAGTCTCATCAGACATCACCCTTCATTTAACCTGTTGAACTACTTCTGGCGCCACCACTGGATGTGATGCACAAGAGGGAAACTGTCGCTGCACTGGCCAAGCACTCCCACAAGAGTGCCACTCATTGGTGAGAATAAAATCACTTCTATATTCATTGTGCCTACTTATAATTTAAGGAATTTCTTGGAGCCAATATTTTTCAAAAGTTACTAGTAGAAAATGAATAGCATATGCCTGCCTGATTCATAAAATTGATAGAATTGACTAAAGATATTTATGGTTGGGTTATTAACACTCTGCCCGCCAAACACGGGATCTCCGTGTTTGGTAATGTAACGCTTGACCGCCAAAAACGGAAATCTCCGAATTTCAGGTTTTATTTTACGGAATTCGATAGATGGGGTAATTAGCGACATGTATTAACAATTTGAACACTATACAGTCTGGATCATCAGTATTTCACTATTTGTTTGTTTACATTAAGCGTAGCAGTAGTGATGTAACTTTCACAAAATCGCGATTATCTCAGCTTAGTTGTAATAAATTGCATAAATCTCTAAAAGTGAGTCATTTTCATCATACTGTTACGGAATAAAGGATAAAGTGTTTGGTATCATTGTAAAGCTAAGATGTTTGTAGTTATTGTAGTATTCATTACATGTCAATCTGATCACATACGCACTATCAACGAGCCTCGGAAAAGTGTTAAAATTCGCTAAAAGGTCTAGCGTTTTCTGATACTAGTTTTTCAAACCCCTGGCGGTCAGAGTGTTAATAAATAATTTTCCATGTCCTATACACAAAAACGAGAGTCCATTTCTTGATGAGTTGCTTCCGATCTTAGCACAATGAAGGAGATTCATGGAGTGTGTGCCATTATGCTAGCAACACCTAAATAGAGAAAAACAAAATCAAGCAGTTAGTATTGCAGTTTTTGGTATTGAAAAGGTACTATTTATCTTTCAACTCAAGTGAATAATTGAAAGATTGAACACTTAATAGAGACAGTAAAGTTAAACTTGCCTAAGTCAACTTTGCCCAACTGGAATAAATTGTAAGTCAATCTTATCTTGCATTCCAAAATTATTGTGTTTTCTTAAATTAATTAAAATCTGGATTCGTCATAGGCAAGTTCAACTGTATAATTCAAAGTAAATATAAAATGGTAGAAACCTTTTTTTTTTACTGTTAATAAACCAGGCGTCTTAGAGTTAGACACTAGATTCGTATTACTAAAGCTGTGCATATTGCTTTAGTCTAGTTAGTAGAGCAACAGCACAGCAACTGGAAGGTCATGTTCCAATAAGGACGATACGCTTTCCTTCAAAATTTACTATTACTCGGTGTACTATTGACAACAACAAATTTTGAATCAGTATGGTTAAAATTGGAAGGCCTAAAGAATGATAAACCTGAAACTGATGCAATTACTCAGACAAAATTAAAGGGTAAAGGTAGTTAAACTTGTAGCGGCCAGATAATGCAAAGCTATGAGGGGGATCACCACTCCTTAAAGGGAGTCATTTTACCTTTTCAGCAAAAATGTGGTACCCATTTACACTCTTGGTTAAAGCGACCTCCACAGCAACCGCTGCACCAACCACTTCCATAAAATTAAAATCGATTCATAATTTATTTTTTCAACAACAATTTTACAACATTTTATTATTATTTGTTATCCCTTGTTTGCACAACAAATGCTCATAAAAATGCTGATTTAACAATTAAAAAATTTTTTTTATAGACTTTTGATTAATAATTAGTTCACAGAGTATATTTTATCCTCTAAAAATTTAGCCACATTCTCTCCCACACCTGTTGCTCCTCATCTGATTGTACACTTAATATTGTACAAAAATTTAAGGGAATTTTAAATTTACTTACTCTCGAAGTCTATTTTTTCTGTGATGTTTTTTGTCTTTACAATTTCGTCCTGGTTAGTTATAAACACCTTTCCATCGTCTTGAAGTCTCCAGCCATATTTTGTCATCCACTGTTCCAGTTCTCGATCGGTCAAGTCTCCTAATAATTGGGCCAGTAGCCGCTTGCTTATGGTCTGATATGTGATCTTAAGCACATGACAGATAACTACACAAGTAAACATAGGTTATTTATAAATGTTTTATATATTCAGATACATTTTTTAAATTTCTTCTACCTTACATTGAATCGAACAACAGGGGCTCATGCTTAAATATGGTCATGATCACATCACATCATGAGCATACAACAGACAGTTTATCATTAAAGCAGTAACTTGCTATACTACTGTACATAACTGTTGTTAATAATACATACATTTTCGAATTGAATCTTCAAAACCCACGATTCCAACTACAATGTCTTCTAAATCAACAAGCTCATTCTATAACAAAGCAAAATCAATGTTTTATATATGTTAAACACATTGGAATTGAATAATGAAAAATCATAATACAATTTTCTCAATTGTTGTTATTAATATAAAAACAAAGGAAACATTTTTCAGTAAAGCCCCATTTCCATAGAATCGCTCATTCTGTCAGTGACAGTTGATGGGAAGGTTGAACCTGATTCAACTTCGCCAGTTGCATTCCAGACTAATCAGGGTGCAATGCTAGCTTCCCTGACGTAATTGGGAAGGCACCCCGATTCATCTGCAACGCAATCAGCAAAGTTGAAACAAGTTCAACTGTCCCGAAAACTGTTGGTGATTGTCGCCGCTAGGGTGAGCGATTCTATGGTAACCGAGCTTCAGCATTAATTTTGTCGGTAATGAAAGCCATATTTCTATACATTAAAAATGTATATGATCGATGTCCCCATCGTATCATTATTATTATTGTTAATTACATTACTTGGAGGTGAAAGTGTAGCGAACTATACACTTAAATGTTACCATCATTACTAATTCTATAATCATTATTATCATCATTAATACTGTATAATATAATCAAAATCATTATCATCATTACTACTATTTTATTAAATGTTTACTAGATGGTTATATAGTATCAACATTTATTCAATAATGTAAATAATAAAGTAATAAAGTTTCCGTAATTATCATCCTTATTACTATAATTATTAATTTAATTATTATCAACATTTATTCCATATTGTAAGTTCCATATTAGCAATATGTAACTTACCCAGAACTTCTGAAATTCGCAGGTCTCTAACAGTAAATGTAGGTACAGAATACTTTTTAATTGGGGCTCCTGTTGCTGGAAATTAGCTAAGGGTATATTTATAAAATGTTGAATTTATATTACAGTATTAAAGTAACAAAAACTGCTAAACTTTGGACAACTTAATTGAAGTGTTAGGTGAACTGAAGAACAAATTAAAACTTATAATGTGATTTACCCTAATATACTACTATAACCTCTCAACCAAGAGATCCATATTGTGGTAAGACCTCACATGTTATACCGTACTCAACAACAACTTCCCGAGTCACTATGTGTATGACCTTGCTTACGTAGTGTGGTAGAAGGATTCACAGGTAAGATACCCAACATGGGCCATGACGTAAATGCTTCTTCTGCAGACAGGCAAGGGCTGAAATGGACCAGTACACTGGGCTAACCCCCTATTCTTCTCGAAGGATGTACTGTGTTCTTTAAAGCGCACAAGCCAATTGTGTACACTGGACCTACACAACCATAGGCGAGTGTAGCATTCGAACCAGCGCCGATATTATGGCTGTATGTCACGGTTCCCCTGTCTTAACCGCTCGACCAATCAACTCACCTACTTAACAGCTAATGAAAAAGGATACATGAGACTCATCAATGAGACACTTGCACAAAATGAAGTCAGTATGTGGGAGATTGGTCAGTGCCTTTAACAGAATCTGTTGAGATACATGTAGTTGGAAGTGCATCGGGTTAAGCTGGTACCTGACAATGAAATAAATCAAATTAGTAAAGGATATACGAAATATGAAATACTTTATTGCAATTTTCATCAAACTATATAATATAGTAAGGAATCAAATTGAAGTTGGACATTTAGTAATACAAAACTTTCCAAAATGGATTTTAAAATATACGTACACCAATACAAACAGAAAAATGGGTGATATAGGCAAATTCTGATATACTGATAAATTTAAGCCTAAATAAGTTTAATTTATTCTACTTACAATTAAAAAAACAATAAATCAGAAACACAAAGACAAGTGAAATTGAGAGATTAAAAAGGAAAATTACTGGAAAATTACTTAAAAATTATTATTAATGATATTATTTTATAATAAAAAAATAATACAGGTTAGTAGAATGGTAGGCACATAACTTGATATTAAAGCTTTAGTTCAATTATATAGATCTACCATTGACTCTAGTTGTTATTTTCAATTTCATTTCTTATTCTTAATCCATAACTTCACATGTTGAAAGTCAATTTTGTAGGCGCTACTTCAGAAAAATTGGGCAAACTCTTGAAGTACTTTCACTAAATGGCAGATGTAATTTGAATTATTTCTTCTATATGCATGAATTCAATTTTTGATAGAAATTTTATATTATTTTTTTTCTACTCTCTGGAATTATGACATTGCATTTTTAAACTTCAGGTCTCAGTTGATATTAATATTTATTATCTTTATTTAAACATAAACTTAATTATCATGCTTAAATTTTTGTGAAATATTTTCAAATGTACTGTACTTACAATTTCAAGACAGCTAAATTAGCTTCTAAGTCGTATGAGTTTTCTCTTGTTTGTATTTCTACATATCTTTCAAGTTTTGCTAGATTTTCTGGATTATATCTTTAAAATATAAAAAAAAAAATCTTATTCAACCTTAAAACACAGCCTTCACCAGAATGCTAGTGGTTTCAGCTAGTATGCCTTTCTAGAGGGCCAAGTCTAGGACTACAGATGGATCTCTCATTAGCAAGTGATGTTCAATCAATAACATAAGCTTATCGCAAACAAACCAATATTCGGACACCCTAAAATGGTGTAGATATGTTGGACAATTGTCGGAGCTATACTAAGCCTACTCTAAAATGCTGGGGGTGTTTGCATCAAGACAGTGTGACAGGACATTATAGTCGCTTGAGGGAAATCAGGGTTAAAGCTCGTTCGCGCATTATATAGAGTGTGTTGCAGTTGTATTTAATCCTGCTTAAAGCCAATAAAATTAATTATTATATCATCCCCAGCAAGGTTGATTATTTAATTTCAAATGAGTAATGCTTTGAGATGGATTAGATTGTCCCTAAACCACAAGACGATCTGCCTTGAACGGCAGCAAAGTGTCTGAGTGAGTGTATCGGTTGGACAGAAGATTCATGCAGGATACCACTGCAGACGTTCTAAGCCCCTAGACCTAAAAAATTCGAAGAAGGGAGAATTTGCAGGTGAAGGACACCCTCATTCCCACCATTTAGTGAAAAGCGCTCTCAACGTTTAAATATTCTGATTGCAGTAACATCTTTCGAGGTGTATAAATATAATTTATAAGGGTTTTATAAGGGTAAATAGAAAAATGTATTAGATTATCACTCCTGCCCATGTCCAAAATTCATAAAATATTGATGCAGAAAAAAAAAAATTTTTTTTGCCACATCAATTATTTAACAGCATAAAAATAAAAATGCAATTTTGTGACTTCAAATACATTTTCTTTGAAAAAACTATAAAATTAAACCAGTTTTTTATACAATATTTACTATTACAGGCCAAATACAGTATAAACAGTCCCTCGTCGATAAAAACAAAAGCAAAATAATCTATAAAAAAAAAAAACCGCCCTCCCTTTCCATTCATGTGGCCTAGTAATTTCGGATACTAAGTTTTTTTCCAAGAGACCGGGCAATAGCATGTAAATTCGATCGAATCGGGAGGGTTAGAACCTATGCCACCGTTGTATTGTATTGTGTATTGTGGCCTGGGGGGGGGGGAAGGGCCTCCAAGGACCATTGAACTGCAAACCGGTCGAGAACGTTGATGGTATGATAACAATTCTCGCCAAGAAAGTTTGATTTACTATCTTTCATCAAATATTACAAATGTAAAATAAATAAAACAAAGTATAATAAATATGAAAATTAAAATATGATTTTGCAAATATATCTTAAAAAATATGAAAATACAAAGGCTAACACAATGCTAAATTTTACTTTTGTCTGCTGTTAGTTTATACACAATGTTAACATTACGCTGTGGCTAGAGATACGGTACCGTATCGGAACTTCCGATTGCTAAAGGTACGGTAAATGATATTACGTCATGATTAGCCAATAGAAATGCCGATACATGCGCGACGTCATTCAGTGCACTGCTGCTGCAAGAGTAGTGAGTGTGTGTTTTATTTAGCACTGCGATCGAAGATAAGAAATGTCGTTCGTTCGCGGGTGTTGTTGACAAGCTGTGATTAATATTCTGTAGCCCGAGGCCCTATAGCAAATAAAAAGAATAGCAGTTTTGCTAGATTTGGTGACATCAAGCGACTGAGTAAACTATTTTAATAGTAGAAGCCAGGCCTAGCCTTAGCTACCCTTGCTACTTTACTGTGCATACTAATTCCCTGTAGTATACGCACTGTCCTACACACTACAAATAAAGTTTACTCTCACTGATAATTACAATCACCATGTTGCTTGGTTGGCTATTTCAATCAGCAATATTAACTAGTGCCTACTACTCTATAAGCTTAGGCTAGGCTCCCAGTAGTAGCACTTACAGCCCTAAGCCTAGCCTAGTAGTAGTACTGTACACATAAGCACTGCATAGGCCCCCTAGGCGGGTATTCGGCCTAAGTAGACCATTCTCTATGGTAGACCATAAAATACGCAAGAATAACAGAAAAGGACTTTAAACCCAAACCTTGTGATAAGCCCAATCGAAGTACATGAAATGGGCCTATTATGACATAAATTTGATCGTAACTGTTCGCGCCCGTTTCTCATGATCGCGACGTCGACTTTGCAAAAAAACCAAATAGAGTCGGTCATTTCTATTGGCTAATCATGACGTAATATCATTTACAGTACCTTCAGCAATTGGAAGTTCCGATACGGTACCGTATCTCTAGCCACGGCGTTAACATTAAGGCAGTGTTTATTATGCAGGTGCCAGCAAATATTAAAAACTAACCTACGACATCAAGAAATAAAGTTTACTGTCGGCAAAGGCTGGCCTAGCTCGAGGTAAAGACCAAAAACTAGGCACCTACATATGCCTACTATATAACTATAATTAGGATGTTCCCTTCCCATTGATGCTCGAGTAATACTAATGGCTGATTTTTCACAGGAATATAGAAACGCAGGGCAGTTGTTTAAATGCAAGTTATGTTCATGCACATGGGAATCCCCGGTAACAATCCCAGTCAAAACAACAACAAAAATGTTTATTATGCCGGCACCGGACAATATGTTGGCACATTGTCCGGTGCCGGCATAATAAACACATCCTAACAACATTAATTAGGCCCAGGCCTATATACTGTAGCTATAATAGGCTAGTAGTATAGTAATTGTACTGTATTTATCTTTTTATTCTAACTTTTAATTAAAAAGACACTTTATAGAACAACAGCCTAGATGTGTTGTAGGCATACATCAAGCAAGCCGGTATTTTAAAATAGTCTTGGCCTCTAGAATTGTCGGGCCAGCCACCTAGCCTAGCCCCTCACTTGGGTAGCTAGGCTGGCCTTGCTGGCTGACCAGCCTGGCGGCCTAGGCCCCTCCTACCAAGAAGTTGGCCTAGACTTTTATCATCTAATTTCAATACATTTTGTACATGTGATGCGTTTAAATTCGATATCAGATTCCTCTACCTATCAATGCCTTTCAGTAAAGAAGAAACAGTAGCTCTTGCATCATCAGCAGAAGACATGTTTTAAACAAGTCTGGAATCCTCTCCACGTTTTTCCACTCTCGTGTCGCTAGCACCACTCTGTTTCTCTCTAAAAATGCTGCTTAACAGCATGACTTAAACATCCGGCCGCCGTTTATGTGTTGGATTTCTCCCAGATCGCACAATTTTCTTTCTAGTCATGTGATGTCATCATGACCATATTTAGGCATGCTACATGTTAAATTTTTGAGCGACGCCCGCCCGCCCATTCCCACTTGCTCTCGTCGGGGTTTCTTTGTGACCCCCCCGGGGCTGTCTCTTATACACATCTATCCCCCGTCGGGCAATTAAAAGTGCTGGCGAGTGGCGGCTCTAGGATAGAATAAGCTGTCAGACAGTGGGACTCTCGGTGCTAGCTCGTAGGCCAAATCTGGGTAAGGCCTCCCATTCAACTCCTATTCAGTTGGAACCGCTGGATGGTCGGAATATGGCACTCTTAGCAGGGAGATGTAAAATCTGCACAGACCGTGATGCTTATAGCATTCCAATGATTTTTTTTTTTTCTTTTTTTATTTTTTTCATTTCAAATTTATAAATGAATGGTTGGGTAGGCCTAAGGCGGATCCGAAACAGACTGTTGCAATCTGGCCGCGCCCGAGTCCACACATGTCCAATTCTCAATTAAACGCCAATGTTATAAATTAAATCAATAAATTTATTAGGCCACACCGAATTGTTTTTTTTTTTTCTTTCTTTCTTTTTTAATTGCTGTGCTTAGCAGGACGTAGGCCTTGAGCAGAATCCAAGTGGTTAAAGAGGCAAATTGTGTTGCTGCCGGGTCCTTCTAGATGGCAGGAAATTCCCCATTTTTAATTTAATTTTCAAAACTTTATGGGCCTGGGCCCTTGAATCCGCCTATGTACTCGCATATGGGCTGCGAACCTGCGATTATGATGCTGCTGAAGTCTGTGCATTTCATGATTAATCCATTAAACGTCCTGCTTGAATGAGGACGAACGAATTATAGTAATTATTATTATTATTATTATTATGTGTTTACTTTAGTGAGGCCGGGTTTGCAGCTATATTCAAACATTTCGGAGGGTGATTTTCCGTAATTGCTTCATATTGTGTATTTTTAGTAAAGTCATGTTTATTAACAAGTTCTAATCAGGGGTGTATCCAGGATTTTTTGTGGGTGGGTCGTGATCATCATTTTTGGACCTTTTCAGTGGGAGACAGGAAAATCGATTACAGCATCACCAACTTGAAGCAGATGGCAGGCTAAGTTTCAGAATTGGAATTGAGATAGATAGACGTCACGCATTTGACAAGGTCTTTGGACTCATTGCTGGTACTCATCATGCATCAATACTTTTTTATCTAGGCCTATGACATTGTGAAAAGGCCCTAGAAAAAATGTCTGTAAAAAAAGTGGAACTTTGACAATTTTAGAAGGTGGGGGTGGGTTGTACGACCTTCCCTACCCCTCCCCCACCCTTGCGGGGGGGGGGGACGACCTTCCCTACCTTGCATACACTTATCTTGGATTTTCACGTTTGTATTTTGATCTTTCTTATTAGAAGTAGCGTTGGCAAAGAAGTCGTTACGATCGGTTGTTTCATATTATAATCCCTGCAGAGCATAGCAGCTAACGACGGCTTGGTCTTAACCTGAAAACCCTCAAAAGTACCGCATGAGTTGAGGTGTGATTATGTCTACCTCATTGATGTTGTAGTTATGGGGAACTACAGCAGTCGTTCAACAAAATCATCATCGAATGGAAAGCAACCCTGTGTTTTTTCATAACTGCTCCAGTGGCGTATCTAGGGGCGCGGGGGTGGGGGTGGTGCCAGCTAGCGCCCCGTCACGTAATCAACGAGCCTATCACTTCACCTTCGCACTTTGGGGGTTATCCATTCATGGAAAAAAGAACACGTAAGCAACTCAATTTTTTTATGTACGTATACACACATAAATAGGCCTTTTTACTGTAATAAGAATGAGAAAGTTTACCTGGCCGTTTTCAAGAGGGGAAAACCTTGAATTTTGAAGAACTTGAAAGTCATTAAAAGACACCTCAGAAGTGTGGAAAGCTTATTTCCTGCTATCTTAAGGTGGGTTTTTTTTTTTTTTACTGAATTCGTAATAAAAAATAAAAAGAATTAAACGGTAATTCAAGTTCTATTTCCGGACCTCCAAAGGTAAAATACTGAAATTTTCATCAGCACACACCCTAGGGCCGTAGACACCAGTACGGCTGGCCAGGTTTCAATCTGACCACTTTTTGACAGACCACAAGTTAAATTGATTAGGTTTTGAATAGCTACACTACATAGCTAGAAAAAAAAACATAACAACCAGTAAAATTTTGCCCAAGCTCAGTGTTCTTATTTTTTTGGCCGATTTCAGGCTCAAAATGTTCTTATTTTGTTATTATTTTACACACCTTTCAAACATAGAAAAGTATTATTGTACAGTAGTATACTTACTGTACTCCAATGTAGATAGAAATGGCCCAGAAAAATGGCCCCTGAAAAAAGGCCCCGGTAAAAATGGCCCCAGAAGAAAAGGCCAGGTAAAAATGGCCCCAAATGACAGGTACACCTTTATTGTATTGTATTATAGAGGGTACAGTATTACATAGACACAACTTCTGCACATAAGGTGCAGATAAAAATGTTTTGGTTTTTCTATTAAAAAAAAAATAAGAAAACCTTATTTGACATTTTTATCTCAGCCTCAATTTGTTCTTATTTTTATTCTTAATTTTTTTTTTTTTTTGCAATTTCAGCCTCAGTGTTCCTATGAAATGTGTTCTTGTGAAAAACAAAGTGTAAATTCCACCTGTATGTTTAGACTTAACCTAGTCTTCTTGACATAACTCAGGAACCACAAGTCTGTGAACTCTGTGGTGAATAGTTAATGCTAGTTCACATTATGTTCTTCCCTTTGGTGTAAGATTAATGATTATGATTAAGAAAATATGCATTTTTTTCTTCAGTTGAAATTCAGTGTCCATGTGGGCTTAGCTTTTATCCAATTAAATTAGAACAATTACTACACACAGTGAGCTTTTGCAGAAAATCAGACTTCAGGTTCCATTATACACTTGCCTAGAGTTTACCCTGAATAACACAGATGGGTTGCCATGGTAGGCGGGGGTCATGAGAAGAGAGTTACTTTTTCTGTCGCTGGAAAACACATTTTAGTGTAATATGAACCCATAAAATAATATTAGTTCAGACATTTATTTATGTGTCTGTGGAAAATATAACAAATTAATAATCCATATTCATCATAGCCCCCGATATTAGTTTAAAACATTTTTCAGGGGCGGATCCAGAGATGTCCAAAAGGAGGGGGGGGGGGGAGTTGGACCGATAGAGAAAACACTGTCCTCCTGGGTCCGGGGCATCCCCCGAGAATTTTTGTGTTCTAGATGCCGAAAATAACATTTGAGGCGTTTAGTCCAATGAAACTGTTTATCATCTTGATACTTTCCGACGAAAATTGACCCTACCAGCGTCATCACGGCGTCCCCACCGATCTATCCAACGTGACGTTTTTATGTGGGTGTTTTATAGATTATTGAGAATGGTAATATCACCGAAAAAATAGATAGAATGACAGTTGAATGACCAAGAAAGACAGCTGAAGACAATATTCGTCATTAGATATTTAGTATAACTTTATTGGGAAAATTAATTCCAAAATCGAGTTGCCGTCCCCGGCGTTATCAGTGACGTCGTATGATTTGTGTGCGATTTTTACCAATCAACCCCTAAGTAAAAAATAGTTGAGCCATGTAGTACCTTACAAATCAATCTAGAAACCTGGTAGTTTGTTGAATGATTATTGGTAGCGTCCCTTCGCTGCCAATAATAGTTTTTTGGCAGTTGCGTCCCCGGTGTCATCGTGAGGGCATGATAAAGGCTGGTTACGATTTGGTGGTACATCGATTGAGTATTTTCATTCATCTGGCCATGTAAGTCAGTGGCGTATCTAGATGTCTTGAAAAGTGGGGGGGGGGGTGCTCGATGATCAGTTGAGGGGTGCTAATTCGCAAAATAAGGTGATTTTAGGTGACTTTTAACTACTTGACCGTGATTTAAAACCAGTGTCAGTATAATCTTAGGTAAGCATGTGTAACATAAGCAAGAAATGAGTCCAATGAAACTGTTTGTCATCTTGATACCTTTCGACGAAAATTGACCCTACCGGCGTCACCACGGCGTTCTGGGCTATCATTTTTTTCTTTTTCTTTCTTTGTTCCCTTTTTTACCTCCTAAAATGGGGGTGGGGAGGCGGGGCCGGGCCTTCCGCCCCACCCCCACCCTAAATCTTCCCCTGTATTTTTATATAAAAAATATTTTAAAACTATATATTAGATTTCTATTACAGAACATTAAAATTCGTGTATGGCCTATACAATGGAAAAATAAATTTATCCCGGGGCCTCTGGCCCCCAGCCTCAGTGCTCGCTTCGCTCGCATTCTGGTCCTCACCACTTCAATTCTCGTGGCTGCCCCTGACCCCCCAACCCCAACTTAAGTTCTAGATACTCCAATGTTGCTGAAAACAATAGTTAATAGAAATATATTTTTATTCGTTTAGTTGTTCATGTGAATGTCTGATAGGTTATTACTTTAAAATAATGCTAAAAACATCCAGTGTCAATGCCAAGATAAACACATGTACGACTGAGCTGAGCGACTCCGAGTTAGTAGTGGTTACGTAACGTTTGTGATGCACTGTATCATGCGGTATAGAAATGGAAGACCATAGTGTAATGGGAATGAACCTCTCTGGTATTGTCTACAGTACAGTCAGTGTAAAAGTGTAAGATATAGGCTATTGCAGATGTAAATTAAGTCCCAATGGTAATGTTCAAAATAAAAGTCAACGAATGAAAGTATGATTGTTTAAAAAATGGTCAAAATTGTATTTTTCTTTCTCACCCTGACCTTCGCCTGGGCGAACTGGGCGAAGGTCTGGATCTGCGCCTGCTACCACCAGCGGACCTACTAAACAACATTTGAGACGCCACCAGCATCGTCCTAGAGATAAACACATGATCCGTATCGTATACATAGTATCGGGTCGAAAAAGATCTATAATATTTTTAATACAGTCGGGAATAAAAGAAAATTTGTTATTTTCTCTTTGTACAGTAATAAAGATTAAATGGAATATTAAATCTTTAAGCAGCAACCTATTTAGGGCAGTATTTGGTCATGAATGTTGCCATCCATACTATTAAAAAAAGGCTGCGATCCAACCAGCTTTGCCACTTGACCCCGCCGGTATTCTTCAGTCTGTACATTTTTGCACACCTCCTCCCCAATGGCTTATAGTATTTTTCTGTTGGTATTTGGTGATTCATAAATCAAAGGTACAGTATCAAATTTATTACTTTAATTAAGCTAAACAAAATACAGGTAACATCTTACAATTACAGTAGACTACAAACGTCAAAATACTCTTATTTATATCCTACCACACAAGTGAAAAAAAAAACAGTATTTCATTCAAATTTAAATTTTGAAAACTTTTGACCAATAAACTTAACATCAAGAGTTTTTTCCTGATCCTTAAAATGAATATCGATGGTTATTCACCTACTATATCCAACATTCTTCACAACACTCCAGTTAGAATGTCCAATGATTTAATGGAATTATTACTGTTACTGTACTTTTACAAATCAATCACAACCATCATAAATTATTTTGGCCCTTAGTCAATATTGATTATTTTCTTTTTCCTAATCGCTGTCATCGAATTCCAATCCATAACCTGCACCCTAATATTTCTAAAGTCCCTGACTATCAAACTCAACAGCTTAACGGTACTCACTATTCATTCTATTGTATCTTGTGCATGCAAAAGCTCAAAACAGTATTGTAACTAAAATGATAACATCTCATTATTTATTCATATCATTTTCATTAAGAAGCAATGTATAATTTTTGTTGTTTTAAATGTTAATTCAGGGAACAATCCTACCGGTACATTAGGGAACGCTTTTTGGCCCCTGAAGTTAATAGGTTTACAGTAGGTAGGTCCTAATATGAGAGCTTTTACGTCAGATGAGGAATTTCAATTTTGAAAAGTGGTATAATAATCGTTGGAGTAAAATAGGACGAGGAATTAATATAAAGTACGGTATAGCATACTGTGATGGCAACTGGAAAGGTCCAACGCCTATAAATAAGAGACAAGTGCCTGAGACTATCATTTTGACCAAAGTCGTGATTATAGCCTTATCACTAGACGATAACGACCCGGCAACGACATATCTATCTTCAACATTGAGCGCATTTGTATCGTGTCAAGTGTACCGACTCTCGCGAATAAGCGCAAAGGGCACTTAAAATATTTTGGCTCTTTTTGAGGAGCGCTTATTCAAACGGGGCGCTATAAAAACAGAAAAACAGAAATTAAGGGGACGCTTATGGAAATAGATGAAAATTGAAGGAGTGCTTATGGGAAATTGGAAAATTCAAGGGGCACTTCATATTTTAATCGAAGATAAGCGAATGGTTTTGCTGAAGAAAAGGTAATCGTCAAGAGAGCATGGCTCTCTTGACGATTCAACAGCAGATGAAATTAGTGGTGGTGTTGGTGGTGGTAGTAAGGTGTTGGCGATCTGCCAATTCAGATTAGCAGGATCATTGCAGGGTTTCTTGCTTAGATACGAGAGTGATGAAGTCAGTTAATTTTTGTTGACTGAAAATGGCCGAACAGTATTTTCATTTTTAGATAGGCCTATTAAATACTAGTAGTTCTAAATCAAAAAATGGTAGCAATAAAACAAGTACGGGATTCTAAAGATACATCAAAACTGAAAATCATGTTATACTTAATGGACTGATGGATAGCTGGACTGACCGACCGACAATGCTAAGATAGATGCGAATAGTTGATGCAAAAATAAGGTTGGTGATGTACTGTACTGTACTGTATGATTGAATTTTTTTTTAGGAATCGAGGGGCGCTTATTCAAACGGGGTGGTTATTCGCGCGAGTATGGTAAATGTAGCTTAATGCCGGCCGAGACGGTTTCAGGCCTACTGTATATTTCTAACAGTAGTACCGGTGGCAACATATTTTACAAGGCTTTAATCTTTTGTTAGTAACTTTAATCACACACGTCTGGTATTCTTATGCTAACAGACCTATGATCAGCATATTTTTAATTTGGGTCTTCCCACTCTGCCTTCTTCAAAGGTACGGTTCCTTTTCTGCTTTCCCTTCTTCTCTTCTTTCTCATTATCTTCTTGTTCCTCTTCATCCTCCCCTTGGTCCTCATGTCCTCCCCTCCTTCCTTCCAGTACATGTTGCCAGAGAATATTTCCACCTCGTACAACTGCAGCGCCTCCAGCGGCAGCAAGAGCTTTGCCTTTCAGACTTAGTCCAACAGCCCCTACCGATTGCAGTAGAGCAACAACACTTCCAGCTGCAATTCCTCCGTTAGCCCAGACTGTAACCGACATGAGTTTGGCTGCAATGGATCCAGATGCAATTCCAGTTCCAGTAAAACCTAATAGAGACGGGCCAAATGTAACAGCTGCAACGCCAGCCAACGCTCCTCCTAGTAAATCCATCTGCAAAAATAAACAATTCTGGAATCGAGTATACAGTAAGACCTGGACCTATTGCTGGGATTTTTTTGGGGGTTTTGTAATCAATATTTTAAAATTTAATGCTATTCGTGTGATGTAGGCCCAGACGATGTTTCAATATTTTAAATGTATGCTGGCTGACAGTACCGTTTTAACCTGCTCCATTAAGTCTTTAATTTTGTCTATAAAGTACAACATGAAGATAGAGGACACCGAACCAAAAGTTCTATTTGGTGAATTTGATAAAGATAAAGAATTTTTTTATTATTATCATTATTATGTTTATTACAATTATAGTTTTACATATAATAGGTATTCTAGGCCCTATTTGTTTATATTATATAGGTTTAATTAGTAGGCCTAATTGGAATAATTGATAATTGTAATTAGCATATGTTGACGGTTGTTGATGGTAATTGTAAGTACCGTAGACCTATGACCTATGGTCTAGCCAAGGCCTAGGCTGGCAGTGGTCTGGTATATTTGCAATGCATCAAGGATTAGTAGGCCTATTGTCTAATGCGCATGTGCATGAGTGTGAAGGAATTTAGTGCTTTATTCGGATTTGAATTCACAACAAAGCTTCATTGCCTAGTTGGTTAAAGCGTTCGCATAGATAGCAGAAGGTCCAGGGTTCGAATCCCGCTGGAGGCACTTACATCAAAGGAGATGTTATATCACCTCTCGGTGTACAATGATATAATAATGTATTGACAAGAGAAACAGATTGTATCGCATTGTCTGGGACAAAATAATTAAACTTAAAATGATCTCACTTCATAAATAAATTATTAGAAATTGATGTTATATGACTTGCGTCATAAATATTAAATCACTGTAATAAAATACAATTAAAAAATAAACATATAAACACTTCAAACATAAGTGTCGTTCTATCCTTTGAATCATAACAGATACAAAATATTTAAAATCTCTTACGAAACTATCACATAATTATTTCGTTTAAAAACATTCATTCATATCAAGTGACGTTCCAATGACATCACAAATGTCAACAGGATTCTTTTTATATAACATGAAGGAATTTTATCCTTGCTCTAAACTATGTAGGTAACTAATGAGATAATACCACGATAGCACCTCTCCGTAGTAACATATCTGTCAATGGCTTTGTGGTCTACACTTCTTCAATTTTTTCTTTGCTTAGACTGGAGCTGGCAAATTCCTTTTAATAACCTGGTTTAAACATCAAACGTGTAATAAACACATCGATGGAGTAAACACGTAGAGTTACACTACCACATTGTAGAAACCAGATCTTCGATTTAAAAAGAAATAAAGGTATATTTTCAAACAAAATAACAAAACGGCGGCTTACAACGAAATATTTTACCATAACCACAGACGCTATATACGAAATAGGTTTAATCCGTATGTGTTCATTGAATAATAGCCTTACCGTCTATCATTATATTAGGCCTACATTAGCATATGGTAATACAGTAATTCCAACACTCAATACCAAAAAACATAAGTCTTACCGACTGCTCTGTCTGATCTTTACTTTGGTGTTAGATTTCAATATAAAGCAAATAAGTTACAAAACAAATTCAGCTCTACCACTACGTCAGCAAAGCTTCCACATTAGAAAGGATGCATCTACAGTGGCTAAGCAAAAGACATTAAAGGAAATTACGAATATCCACGTGATTAATAGTCGTCTGTTTAAACTAGTCATCTGTTAATTGGAGCAGACAATAAAAACGGGAAGCATCCTTTCGGAAATCATTTCAAAATAAAGTATGTTACTGACGGCTACTCTAAATAGCGAAATAAAAGGCTTCGTTGATTGATGAGCCATCAATGAGACTTCTTTCTAACACAGACGGCCGTTTAAATGTTTCTTTATTTCTAATTGGTTTTAATTTTTGATAATAATGATATAGCATTTTAATGATTTTTTGTTTTCAAATTTTTAAATGAATGGTAGTGGGTAAGGCGGATCCGAGACTTCACCTGTTCCAACTCTGGCCGCGCCCTCGAGTCCATGACCAATTCTGAATTAAACGTCACATAATGAAAAACATGATATAGTAATCGTACATATAGTTAGCAAAATTGTTTAATGTCCCTCTCGTTCATGGCATTCGCTGGAAGCTCGAAAATTCAAAATAGTCGCCATATTTGTTTTCAATAATTATATACGACAGAAATGACAAACAAATGTGTTTAAAACATTTTGAAAACTTGACGAAAAATTGAATTCCAGAAATTGTACCTCGATCACATGGCCTAAAATAGGCAAATTAGCATAAGTATACAAATTCGGTGTGAAAATTACATAGGGTATCCGTATCTTGGCAACCATTGGTCCAAGTTTAATTTTCTTTCAAAATATTCAGTATAGGCATGTTTCTATATCTTCTAATGAGACTTTAACTTTTGACACATAATACACCTATACTAGAACCTTAATTGGACCTTTAACCAGTGGCGTATCTAGAAGTCTTCAAATGTCGGTGCTGATTGGGGCGGGGGGAGGGGAAATGGGATCCATGATCAGTTGAGGGGCGCTAATTCGCAAAATAAAGGTGGTTTAAGTGATTTTTAACTACTTGACTGATTTTGGAGGGTCGACGGTGGGGGAGTAATTTTAAAGGTTCGTGACATGGGGTAGGGGGAGAGAAACTTCTGCTATTAAGAACACTATTTAGTATTAATTATCTTAAAATATACTGACAAGTGGCGGAGCCAGGAATTAAAAAGAGAGGGGACACAGGGAGGGACTATGGAAATGAAAGGCCTAGACCACATCAGCCCCAGGTTTAAGTAGGGCATTTTGTTGCTATGGTCCCCCTACATGGCTGGAAATTCCTCATTTTTTATTTAAATTCTTAAAACTTTGAGGGGTTCGTATATCATGACTATGCTGCTGCTGAGGTATTCCTACTAATCCATTAAACGCCCTGCTCCCGAGAAAAGTTAAGAGGACAAATAAAGCATTATAGAATTATTATTAAGATGGTGTTTGTGTTGTGAGGGGTTTGCGGTTATATTCAAACATTTCGGAGGGTTGTTTTCTATGGAACGCCTCCTCTGCCTTCAGTTCACAATCATCATGCAGTCATTACCAATCATCATGCCGTCATTACCAATCACTATGCAGTCATTACCAATCACTATGCAGTCATTACCAATCATCATGCAATCATTACCAATCACCATGCAGTCATTACCAATCACTATGCAGTCATTACCAATCACTATGCAGTACTTACCAATCACTATGCAGTACTTACCAATCACTATGCAGTACTTACTAAACACTATGCAGTACTTACCAAACACTATGCAGTACTTACCAAACACTATGCAGTACTTACCAATTACAATTCAGTAGAATATGCGCAAATTTATACCGCCACCTATAGACAACATTGAATATCACGTGAGGTTTAGACGACGGCTGTACATGCAAGTCTATTCAAACAGTTATTATTTACTCAGTGTAGTACATATCTAGAGTTGCTTTTGTTTCTCACCACCCATCTTACCACCACACTCACTAGGTCTAAGCTAATAGATACCGTAGCCCACATACTTGATTTTTACGAATAATATCTTATCATAAGGCCTATTACAATTAATTTTAACAAGATTAAATTTAGTATTTCAAAATGTGAAAAAATCAGACCTTTTTAAGTCTCTAGTAGTAGTATGCCTAAAGCTATATGCTTTAATATTACTAAAAGGCCTAGCCTAATTTAGTTAACTACAAATAAATAACTCCCATCTTTATTAAATTTCCAAATTATCTCTAATTAAAGTTGGTTTACATTTTCTAAAATTAATCAAAATGCTTACGGTAACACAGCATATAGTTTTATAAAAATAAAAAAACAGGAAGAAAACAAATATTTTAAAGGTTTGCATACTGGAGTACTTTATTTTATGTGTTATTGAAATAATTGCTTGGCGGCAGCGGCAACATACCGTATTTAGCGCAATAGGCTCTAAACATAGAGAAAATATTTTCTCTATGCTCTAAAGAACTACCGGTACTGTAAAGATTTTTTTTTCTTTCTGTTCTTTATTAAACTAAAATATGCTGATGTACCGTAATCACATTATTCCAGTATGTAAACTTGAAAATATTGTATTTAATATAATTGTTTAATATAATATATTGATTGTCTGATAGAAATTAGTGAGTCAGCTCCAACTAAATACTGGAGTAATGATATTTTATGTGTTATTAAATAATTCCTTGTCGGCTGCGGCAACATTCCCGTTACCTTAATAGGCCCTAAAAAACTAACAAAATGTGCTAAGATTTTTTTCTTTCTGTTCATTATTAAACTATATGCTGTGTTACCGTAATCACGTTACTCCGGTATGTAAACCTATAAAATAATTATTTAATATAATTGTTTAATATAACATATTGATTGTCTGATAGAAATTAATGAGTCAACTCCCACTAGCTACTGGAGTAATGATATTTTATGTGTTATTAAATAATTGCTTGGCGGCAGCGGCAGCGGGGTGGCAGGGGGCTTAAGTCCCCCCACCGGACAGGTCAAGCCCTCCCGCCGGACAGAGCGCGTCGGGCAATCAGACCATAAAACATATAAAAATAATCCCACACCAAGCCAACACATGTCTGTCACAGTCTCAGAGTGCCATTTCGGCCATCCAAAGGTTGATATTCTTTTAAAAAAATCTCATTTGGGAAGGCAACCCCCTCCCAACTCCTTCCCCCAGCTCGGGCCTACGATCTCAAGTCCCCCCTGTCGGACAACTTAGCCCCCCAGAAAATATATCCTAGAGCCACCACTGGCTGCGGCGACATACTGTTTACCTCAATAGGTCCTAAAGAACTAATAAACTAAGATTTTGTTCTTTCTGTTCCTTGTTAAACTAAATATAATACCGTAAGCATTTGATTGATTTATTTTAAAAAATTGATAAAGACGGGAGTTTTTTATTTGTAGTTAACTAAACTAGGCTAGGCCAATTAGTAATATGAAAGCATATAGTTGTAGGCATACTACTACAGAGACTAAATTATTTACTTTTTAAAATATTAAATTTTATCTTGTTAAAATCAATTTATAGGCCTAACGTCTGCCCTTTTAATAGGGCTATTAATAAGGCATTATTACAAATCATATATTATTCGTAAAAGTCAAACATGTAGACTAAGTAGCCTAGGCCTAGTGAGTGTGGTGGTAAGATGGGTGGTGAGAAACAAGAAGCAACTCTAGAAGCATAAGTAGTACACTGAGTAAATAATAACTGAATAGACTTGCTTTTACAGCCGTCTACTAAACTTTACGTGATATTCAATTTTATTTATTGACACTTCACCTTTAGAACGGTGGCACACACAACTCTTGTGGCGCGGTCTAACAACAAAAGTAACAACCAATACAAAAACAATTCAATGTTGTCTATAGGTGGCGGTATAAACTTGCGTATATTCTACTGCATTGTAATTGGTAAGTACTGCATTGTATTTGGTAAGTACTGAATAGTGATTGGTAAGTACTGCATAGTGATTGGTAATGACTGCATAGTGATTGGTAATGACTGCATGATGATTGGTAATGACTGCATGATGATTGGTAATGACTGCATAGTGATTGGTAAAGACTGCATGATGATTGGTAATGACTACATGACTATTGTGAACTGAAGGCAGAGGAGGCGTTCCATAGTATGGTTTTCTGTTGCTTCATATTGTTGTCTATTCATTCAGATGAATTCTTTACGCAACCACTCTGTATTCGCAACTGGATTTAAGTCCTGTAACAACAGACAGTTCTAATGGACTTATCTTGTAGGATTTTCACGCGTTTTGATCTTTCATATTAACGTAGGCCAAGAAATTATAATCGGTTGTTTTCCCAAATTATTTTCTGGTGAGGGTATTTACTATTTCCTTTTTACTATGCTATATACTAATGGTTAACAAACTTTTATAAAAGAAGTAAAATTAATCTTTTTAATATATTTCTGCCATTTATTGTCCATGTAAAAATTAATGCTCAATCGGCTAATCTGGTGGTAGCCACTGTGTGTGCGTTGAACCATGGAGGCCTCTAGGTCCCCGGTTCTATTCCCATCGCTGCTACTCCCAATTGTGTTTCAGCTGGAGGGCTGAAATATAAGTTACAACAGCACACCGTTTATCGGATGAGACGTTTAAGCTGTTGGTCCCGTGTGCATTTATGGCCCACGTGCACATTAAAAAACGCAGTACTCTCTTCGGAAAATAGTAGGGGATTGTCTCCCGGTGTACTGCCCAATCACCACCAGAAGGACCTCACTGGAATTTCTTCTAGACATTCGTGGGCTATCCTTGGTGTTTAAATAAACAAATCCAATCCAATCTAATCCAAATAATAATTTTTTTTCATGAGGCTCCAGAATTTGATGAGGGCAGGGACGTGAAACTAGCAATCAATCATGACTGTTGCTGACGAATGCAAGAAATTGTCCTTCGATAAGCTTTTTAAGCGGTATATTAAGAACGTCTGATTGGTGAATTTTATTATTTTATTATTTTTATTGTCCATGGAAAAATTAATGTGTTTTTTGGGGGGTTTTTTTGTTGGAAAAATAGAAAATAGGCCTAGTAAATTTTGTCATGACGCTCCAAAATTTGATAAAGGTGGGGACGTGAAACTAGCAGTTAATTTTATTTGGCCTCATAGTATTTTTGAAATCTAGAGGAAGCTAACGACGTTACAACATCGACAGTAATAGGCAAAATATACAAAATCCCCCAGATCGTCGATGCTGATTAGTTGGTAGTATTATATGCCTTATTATGATGACGAATTCAAGAAATTGTACTTCGATAAGCATTTTAAGCGGTATATTAAGAACTTCTGCTTGGTGGATTTAGTCGCTTACAACTTCAGATTCTGATTGTAGTCGTTCAACAAATTCATCATCAAATAGAAAGAAACCCTGTGTGTTTTCATATAACTAAGAACTGCCCAAGTGCCGTGTGCAGGGCAGTTGGGTGATACACATCTAGATGTGTATAAGAGACAGATTTTGATCAGATAGTGAGTATGATGAATGGTGAGTTAATACTGTTTCAAGTGTTCTTCAGTTTGTCCTTTCTTGCACACCTCCTCCCCAATGGCACTCTTATTTATATCCTATCACACAAGTACAAGTACAACTGTAGATCAAAACAATATTTCATTCAAATTTAAATTTTTGACAACTTTTGACCAATGAACTTAAAATCAAACCATCATCGTTTGCTTGATGATTTTGGCAAATTTCGACCAATAAAGTTAATATCAACCCATTTTTTCCTGATCCTTAAAATGAATATCGGTGGCTATTGGCCTACTATATCCAGTATTCACAGCATTTCAGTTAAATGTCCAATATGGATTTGATGGAATTATTACTGTTACTCTACTACATGTACAAACCAATGACAACCGTCATACAAATCAATATTTTTTTTTCCACGTTTGCTTTCATATCGGATTCAAATCCATAACCTGTACGCTAATTTCTAAAGTCCTGTCCAGACTATCATCTTCATTTGGCATAAACTTGTAACATGCCTAAATATGATCATCATGACCATATATAGGCACATCATGACCATATATAGGCACATCATGACTATATATGGGCAAACAAGAGTGTTTTGTAAAAGAAAATTGGATAATTTGGACAGAGACAGAGTCATTGCGGTACTCCCTATTTATTCTACTGTATCTTCTTGTGCATGCAATAAAGCTCAATAAGGTATTGTAACAAAAATGATAATATTTCATTATTTATTCATATCACTTTCATTATGCAGCAATGTTCTGTTGTTTTAAATGTTAATTCAGGGAATAACCCTACATTAGTGGACACCTTTTGGTCCCGAAGTTAATAGGGTTACGGTACTGTAGGCGCTAATAATGAGAGCTTTTACGTCAGGTAGGAAACTTCAATTTTGAAAAGTGGTACAGTATAATATTAATGGTTGGAGTAAAATAGGACGTGGAATTAATATACAGTACCGTATAGCATACCTGTGATGGCAACTGTAAAGATCCAACATTTGCTAGACCTATAAATGAGAGCATAAAGTGGCTGAGACATTCATTTAACTTAAGTCTGACATCTATTGTGATTAATGCCCAGACGGTTTTAGTGTATATTTCCAAAAATCTAGTACCGGTGGCAACACATTTTAAAAGGCTTTAATTTTGTTAGATTAATAACTTTAAACAAACACGTCTGATATTCTTGTTCTAAGACCTATGATTTCTTTATTTTGTCTCCTTCCCCTCTGCCTCCTTCAAAAGTACTACCGTTCTTCTTTTTCTGCTTGCCCTTCTCTTCCTTCTCATTTTCTTCTTGTTCTTCTTCATCCTCCTCGTCTTGATCTCCTCTTCCTCCTTCAGGTACATGTCGCCAGAGAATATTTACTCCATGTGCAACTGCAGCGCCTCCAGCGGCAACAAGAGCGCAGCCTTTCACACTTAGTCCAACAGCCCCTACCGATTGCAGTACAGCAACAGCACTCCCAGCTGCAACTCCTCCTCCGTTAGCTATGGCAGCAGCCGACATGAGTTTGGTTGCAATGGATCCTGCTGCAATTCCAGCTCCAGTAAAACCTAATAGATACGGACCAGCTGTAAAAGCCGCAACACCAGTCAACGCTCCTACTAGTAAATCCATCTGCAAAAATAAACAATTCTGGAATCGAGTATACAGTAAAACCTGGGCCTGAACTACTGGGATTTTTTGGGGGTTTTGTAATCAATATTTTCAAATTCAATGCTATTCCTGTGATGTAGGCCCAGACGATGTTTCAGTGTTTTAAATGTATGCTGACCGAGAGCATGGGTGGCACAAGGATTTACCCGACAGGGGGTCTGAGGTGGGGGGGGGGCGATTTCCATGACGAGAGCAAAGTGGGTGTGGTCAGGCGTCGCTCAATGTTTGATAAGTGACCCAAGGGCGAAGCCCGCGAAAAATACCGTAACCTCGAGTTGAAGCCCAATGGGCTTAATATCGAGAAGAAGCCTCTCGAATTGAAACCCCTCTTTATATAGCCTCCACGATAGCATAGGCTTCTATACAGTACCTGAGACAACTATATAGTTGTCTCAGACAGTACATACACTGTACATGAATGAAAAGTAGCCTCGAAAGGAATCCCATCAAAAGTTGGCATAAAAAAGAAGCCCGGGGCTTCAATTCGAGGTTTTAAGGTATGACAATATAGCGGTTTCGAATGCTTATTTTCTCCAAAAGAATTATGGTTTTCTCCCCGACGACATATCTCAAAAACGGCTGCACAGACATAATTGAAAATTACAGGGAGTGTTAGGTATAACCCAATGAAGAAATGATTAAATTTTGGTGACGGTCCGGTGTATGTTTGGATGTGAAGACCATTTAAATGGATTTTAGAGCAAACGCCCTAGACAAGATATCTCGAAATCTAATCAACTGATATGAATGAAACTAAGTTTCGTGAAAGTTTAACCAAGTTACAAGGTAGAAATAATCAAGTGTTGGTCACAATTCAAATTCAGGGCCATTTAAAATTGTTAACGTCGTTCGTGTTTCTTGTGTTCAAAAATTGTTAAAAACAGCTGCACAGATCTTAAATGGAGGATACAGGGAATGTTAGGTATGACCCAAGAGTGAGGTGATTAAATGTTGGTGAATATGAGAACCACTTAAAGGAAAACGTCTCAGACAAGATATTTCAAAAAATAATCAACCTATCTGAATGAAACTTTCGTGAAGTTTAAACAACTTACAAGGAAGAAATTATGTGTTGGTGACGATCCAAATTTGGGTGTACATTTGATGGTCATTTAAAATCCTAAGGTCCCAGATCTAAATATCTCTAAAAATAATCAATGGCTGACATTACCCACAATAGTTTGTCATGTTTCGATTAATAAATCTTTAAATGTTGGTGACTATCTGGAGTAGGGTGTAGATATGAGGACCATTTATGGAAAACGTCCCAGACCACATATTTCAAAAACTAATCAACTGATATGAATAAAACTTTCGTGAAAGCTTAACCAAGGTACAAGGAAGACATTTTGAAGGATTGGTGACGTGTCAATTTTTATCACGATCCGAATACCGTACCGTACCGTAGGCAGAAACAATAGCTATATGATGAATATTTTAATTAGTGCAATTACAGTAAAGGTGTACAGCGCTTTATATGTACTAACTTCACTTTTTTTTCGGAACTTACTGGGAATATTTTTAATTCATCTTTATATTTCTATTTCCAAAATATTTCCATTTCAACACCGATACAATGCATGTATTTTGTCTGTCAGCTATAAGAGTAAAACTTGCCAATAAGTTAATCCAGAACATGTCAGGAATTGGCAGGTGTACAAACTGATACAATACAAGGCGTTCAAAAAATGAAGTGATTGTATTTTGGTGTCGATATTTGGACCATTCAAAGCAAAAAGTCGCAGATCAGATATCTCAAATACTAATCAACTCATCTAAAGCCCCTATCGCACTGGACTTAATTTGGTCGAATGGTTAATTTTACCGACCGAAAGCCGAATGGTTAATTTTACCTACCTCAGCCTGCCTAGTAAAACTTACCACGGTCTCGGTTAAACTAACCACGCTGGTCAAGAAGTCCAATCCGAACGTGCAACACAGTTAAAACTTCTTCCATGTTGCCACCGCTCGAACCAAACCGGAAGCTGAAGTCACAAACTAGCGCCCTCAATAACATTTTTTATACACAAGGTTAAATCTTGGTAAAACTATGGTAAAGCTAACCGCGTGAATAATCCAAGTGCGAGCAATGGCTTTGGTTAAAGTTACCCTGGTTAAATTTACCATTTTTTAAATCCAATGCGAACAAGGCTTAAATGAAAATTTCGCGTCATTGTTTAAAGTAGATTGTTGTTGGTGGTCTGAGAGTAGGAATACATTTTTGGGGAATTATAGAAATATTTATTTATTTATTTATTTTATAGGAATTATTTTATAGAACTATTATTTTTAATGGATAAAAATGATAATTGGCAGAAAAGTTTGTCATCTCTTAATAAAGAAGTGTGCCAATTTTGGTCATGATCCGAAGTAGGGTGTGGATACATGAGGACCAAATTTTAAAGAATAAGATTACCGTATACCAGGGAATAGTGAAATTGTAGATTCACTGTTCCCTATATTATGAATATTTAAATTAGTGCAATTACAGTAAAAAGGTGTACAGCGTTTTATATGTACTAACTTTACTTTTTTTTTCGGAACTTATTGGGAATAATTTTAATTAACCCCATATTTCTATTTCCAAAATGTTTCATTTCAACCCCAATGTATTGCTTGTATTTTGTTTGTTAGCTTTAAGAGTAAAGCTTACCAGTAGTTAAACAAGAACATGTCAGGAATTGGCAGGTGTTACAATTGATACAATAAAAGCCGTTTCGAAATAGTAGAGGACCTGACTAAGATTTGTATGCACTTCATTTAGGAGAGAATTTCTCAACTGTTATAGATTAATATGAACCCTAGGAATAACATGGGATGTGTGCCAAAATCTCTATCCGGGACGGAAAAGCCCGAAAATAACCACGCCCTTAATTAAATGACCACGCCCCTTTTTATAGGGTTGGGGGTATTTTGAAATTGAGCTAGACGGTATAAGAAAATAGCAAATGAAGGGGTTTTTTGTTCTAAATGAGCACACATGACAAGAGGATTAAATTCCTAAAATTACGTCTCAGTCACATTTTCCGTAAAATGCAAATTAGCTTGAATATGCAAATTAGGAGTGAAAAAATAGGGTTCCCACGTACTGAGAACCGCTGATCGTAGCGAGTAGCTTTCTTTTTAAAATTGTTCAGACCATGCATATTTCTATTTGTTCTAATGTGAGATTTGCTTAAAATATGACCGGAAATGCCATATTTGACCTTTGACCCTATTTACAAGTTTTCCCTATTCCCATGTCTACTGACTGTAAAAACTTGGTTCCGGTCTCAAATTATTCATATATAATTAGTTTTACACACTTTTGGTTCAAATTTTTGAAGGCAGCTAGACTACAGTTTTGACCTTTGACCTGGCAGGTCACTTTAGTTGTGTGTAACTTCATAATAGGTCAAATAATTATTGACTATTTGATGTCATATTGTTTAGAAGTTGTGATTTTATCAGAAATTAACAATAAATTGTATTTCCATCAATCAGCAGCATTTACTCAGTGATTGGGTTTTTACAACAATCACCACCCTTGCATTTACAGTACTTGCAACACTTTATTCTAGCTCTTCTACAGGGACACGAATTCTTGCGAGCACATTTGCCACACGTGTAGGGATCTGGCAGGCCATCAGGTTTCGAGATCACAATATCAGGGACGAATAAACTGCCACTCCTTACAAAACCAAAATTCTTAGCATTGATAATTGATGTGCCATCTCTAAATGGGGCTTGAACTCACAGCTGCTGTTGGTAGTAGCTTCTATATATATGTTTTCTTGCATTAGTTGAGGAACAAGCTGTTCTCCCAAAGTCCACCTTGAGGGTATTGCTATCAAATGCAGCAAGGCGCAGATCGTCAAATGTCTCAAGGTCTGTTGATGGTTTAAAACACTAAACCAAAAAGGTTTCTGCCATTTGTACTGCATCCTGTACGATTAAAATCGTAACGGTTGTGGGTTTGGTCTACAGGAGTTCGTGTTTCGTACAGGTCATTCCATTAATAGAAAAAGCCTTTATATTGGAGAAAGCGTACCTGTCGTTAGCCATATTAGCCTAGGTCAATACTAACTCCGGCTATATAAAATTGATTATAAGATTGAAAAATAGTTATCTTATTATTGTAGTAGTGATACTATGTACACGTTTTAATTATTGTTATTTATTCGTTAACGTTATTATATTTACATTTAAATTTAATGCATTGTTGTATGAATTACTATGTCCATGTTAAATTAATCTTATCTATTAAAATTGTATATTTAAATAATATAGTAATAGGCATAGCCGAGGTCTAGCCTAGGCTAGGCCTAAACTACTGACTATATAATGTGAGTGTATAAAATTACGAAAAATATGAAACGCAAAATTGTGAAAGAATAAAGGAAGAATAGGAAAGAGATTTGGAGCGGCTGAAATATTTTCCGAAAATATACAATAGTAGTCAATATGCTATTATTGAATTACGTTTTTGTAAACCATTTTGGGCACTAATCGTCAGAGGTCTCGGTGCCACAGCCTACACTTTTCATAATTCGAAATCGATTAGTGCCCAAAATTGTTCACAAAAACGTAATGCATCTTGAGGATATTTCCCGCACATTTAAAATCGTAATGGTACTGGGTTTGATCTACAGGAGTTTGTATTTCGTACAGGTCATTCCATTCATAGAAAAAGCCTTTATATTGGAAAAAGCGTACCTGTCGTTAGCCATAGTAGCCTAGGCAAATACTAACTCCGGCTATATAAAATTGATTATAAGATTGAATAATATTATTATTGTAATAGTGATGATACTATGTACTATTATTGTTATTTATTCGTTAACGATATTATATATATTATTTATATTTAAATTTAATGTATTGTTTAAGTATGAATTACTATGTCCATGTTAAATTAATCTTATCTATTATAATTGTATATTTAATTGATATAGTAATAGGCATATCTGAGGCCTAGCCTA